TTTATTTTTGTTTCTGTTGCCTGTGCCTTTGGCATCACATCCAAAAAATTTCATTGATAAGATCAATGTCCCTCTTTTATTCTAGGAGTTTTAGAGTTTCAGATCTTACATTTAAGTCTTTAATCCATTTTGAGTTGATTTTTGTGTATGGTATAAGGTATTGGTCCTTATACCAATACCTTATAAGGTATTCATCCTTTTGCATGTTGATATCCATTTTTTCTAATACCGTTTACTGAGGAGACAATCCTCTCTCTATTTTGTATCTTGGGTGCCATTGTCAAAGATTTGTTGACCATACATATGTGGGTTTAATTTTGGGTTTTGTCTCTGTTCCATTGGTCTATGTGTCTATTTTTATACTACTACCACACTGATAAATACTATAAATACTATAACTTTGTAATATAATTTGAAGTTAGGAAGTGATGCCTCTAGTTTTGTCTTGCTCAAGATTGCTTTGGCTATGTGGTTTCACATGAATTTTAGGATTGAATGGGTATCTTAAGATTGTATGGATATGTTAACAATATTCTTCCAATCCATGAGCATGAAATATCTCCATTTATTTGTCTTCTACAATTTATTTCATTGATGTTTTAGAATTTTCAGTGTACTTATAGATCTTTCACCATCTTGGGTAAATTTTTTCCTAAGTATTTAATTAATTTTGATGCTACTGTAAATGGGACAGTTATCTTAATTCCTTTTTTGGATAGTTTGTCTTTAGTGTAGAGAAATGCAGCTGCCTTTTGCAAGCTGATTTTACTGAATTTGTTTATCCTAACAGTTTTTTGTGCAGTCATTAGGAATTTCTATTTATAAGGTCATCTCATCTGCAAACAGATAATTTTACTCCTTCCTTTCCAATGTGGATGCCTTTTATCTCTTTTTTCTTTTTTCTTGTCTCAGTGCTCTGGCTAGGACTTCCATACTATGTTAATAAGAATGGTGAGAGTGAGCATCTTGTCTTGTTCCTGATATTGNTTTTTTTTTTTTTTTTTTTTTTATGATTTAGCCTTGGTTGATTGTGTGTTTCTAGCAACTTGTCTATTTTTCTAGACTGTCCAACTTATTAGTAATTGTTTATAGAAGTTTCTTGTAATCCTGTGCATTTCTATAGTATCAGTTGTAATGTCTCCTCTTTCATTTCTGGTTTTATGTTTGAGATTTTTCTTTTTTTCTTAATCTAGCTAAGGATTTGTTAATTTTGTTTATATTTTCAAAAACCTAACTCTTACTTTTGTTGACCTTTTTTATTGTTTTTCTATTCTCAATTTCATTTACATCTGATATAATCTTTATTATTTTCTGCCAGCTTTAGGTTAGTTTGTGCTTCTTTTTCTTGAGGTATAATGTTAGAATGTTTATATGAGATCTTTCTTTTTTATTAATGGAAAATTTCATGACTATAAACTTCTCTGTTAGAACTGCTTTTCCTGCATCCTAGAAATTTTGGTATGTTGTGTTTCCATTTTTGTTTGTCACAAGTTATTTTTTGGTTTCTCTTTTGATTTCTTCTTTGTTTAAGAATGTCTTGTTTAATATCTACACATTTGTGTAGATCACACAAGAAACAATTTTCTTGTTTCTCTCCTATTATACATTTCTAGTTTCATAACTTTGTGGTTGGAAAAGATTAACTTGATATGATTTCAAGTTTAAATTGGCAAAATTTTGTTTTATGATCTATCTTAGGGAATAGCTTTGGGCATTTGAGGAGAATGTGTATTCTGCCACTTGGATAGAATGTTTTGTGTATGTCTGTTCAGTCCGCTTGTTCTATAGTGTTGTTCAAGTCCATTGTTTACTTATGGATTTTGTCTGGATGATATATCCATTGTTGAAAGTGGATATTGAAATCCTCTACTGTTACTATATTACTGTCTGTGTCTGCCTTCATTTCTGTTAATATTTGCTTTATATATTTAGATGCTCATATGTTGTGTGAATACATAGCCATCCCTCAGTATCCATCCATAGGAGACTGATTCCAGGAACCTCTATAGATGCCAAAATTCTCAGATACTCAAGTCCCTTATATTTTGCATATAACTCACACACATCATTTTTAAATTCTTTACATAATTTATAAATTACTTATAATACCTAATTACAATGTAAATTCTATGTAACTTATTGTGACTACAACGTAAATGCTCTGTACGTGTTTGTTAGCATGAAGCAAATTCAAGTTTGCTTTTGGAACTTTCCAGAATTTTTTTCCAAATATTTTCAATCCACAGTTAATTGAATCCCTGGATGTGGAATACACAGATGTGGAATCCACTGATACAGAGGACTGACTGTATATTTACAATTTTATATCCTCCTGATTAACTGACTCCTTTAGCATTATATAATGACCTTCTTTGTCTCTTATAACAATTTTTGACTGAAAGGCCATTTTGTCTGCTATAAATACAGCTACTGTTCTCTTTTGTTTACCATTTGCAGAAATGTCTTCTCTCATCTCTTCGGTTTCAGCCTATATGTGTCCTTAAAGCTGTCTTTTGTAGGCAGCATATAGTTGGATCTTGCTTTTAAAATCCATTCAGCCACTTTAAATCTTTTGGTTGGAGAGTTTAGTCCATTTAAATTTAAAGTAATTGCCAATAAAAAAGGATTTGCTATTGGCCACTTTGTTGTTTTCAGATTGTCCTGTGGTTACTTTGTCCCTTTCTTTCTCTCTTGCTGTCTTTCTTTGTGAGTTGATGATTTTGTGTGTGTGTGTGTGTGGTGTGTGTGTGTGTGTATACTTTGATTCCTTTCTCTTTCTCTTTTGTTTATCTGCTACAGTGTTTTCTTTATAATTAGTATTTGTTGTTGTTGTTCAGTCACTAAGTTGTGTCCAACTCTTTGCGACCCCATGAACTGCAGTATGCCAGGCTTCCCTGTCCTTCACTATCTCCCTGAATTTGCTCAAACTCATGTCCAGTGAGTCAGTGATGCCACCCAATCATCTCATCCTCTATAGCCCCCTTCTCCTCTTGCCTTCAGTCTTTCTTGGCATCAGGGTCTTTTTCAGTGAGTCAGCTCTTCACATTAGGTGGCCAAAGTATTGGAGCTTTAGCATCAGCATCAGTCCTTCCAATGAAATATTCAGAGTTGAGTTCCTTTAGGATTGACTGGTTTGATCTTATTGCTGTCCAAGGGACTCTCAAGAATCTTCTCCAGTACCACAGTTTGAAAGCATCAGTTCTTTGGTGCTCAGCCTTCTTCAAGGTCCAGCTCTCACATCCATACGTGACTACTGAAAAAAATCGTAGCTTTGACTATATGGGCCTTTGTCGGCAAAGTCATGTCTCTGCTTTTTAATATACTAGGTTTATCATAGCTATTCTTCCAAGGAGCAAGCGTCTTTTAATTTTGTGGCTACAGTCACCATTCATAGTGATTTTGGAGCCCAATAAAATGAAATCTGTCACTATTTCCACTTTTCCCCATCTATTTGCCATGAAGTGATGGAACCGGATACCATTTTTGAATGTTGAGTTTTAAGCCAGCTTTTTCACTCTTCTCTTTCACCTTCATCAAGAGACTGTTTAGTTCCTCTTTTGTTTTCTACCATTGAAGTGATATCATCTGCATATCTGAAGTTATTGATATTTCTCCCAGCAATCTTGATTCCAGCTTGTGATTCATCCAACCTGGCATTTCACATGATGTACTCTGTATATAAGTTAAATAAGCAGGGTGACAATATACAGCCTTGATGTACTCCCTTCCCAATTTTGAACCAGTCTGTTGTTCCATGTCTGGTTCTAACTGTTGCTTCTTGACCTGCATACAGGTTTCTCAGGAAGCAGGTAAAGTGGTGTGGTATTCCCATCTCATTAAGAATATTCCGCAGCTTCTTGTGATCCACATACTCAAAGGCTTTTAGCACAGTCAATCAAGCAGAAGTAGATTTTTTTGGAATTCCCTTGCTTTTTCTATGATGCAGCGTATATTGGCAATTTGATCTCTGGTTCCTCTGCCTTTTCTGAATCCAGCTTATACATCTGGAATTTCTCAGTTCATGTACTGCTGAAGCCTAGCTTGAAGGATTTTGAGCATAATCTTGCTGGCATATGAAATAAGTGCAATTGTATTGTAATTTGAACATTCTTTGGCATTACCTTTCTTTGGGATTGAAATGAAAACTAACTTTTTCTAGTCATAAAATATCTTATAATTACAGCACTCTATTTTAAGCTGGAAACAACTTAACTTTGATTGCATACAAATAGTCTACACTTTTACTTCTCTTCCTCCACACCTTCTGGTGTCCACAAGCTAGCCAGTAGGATCTGAAGCTGGCGTTGAGATCTGTGTGCCAGCGCTGAAAACTGATTCATCTATGTCGATTCCCTCAGTTCTGGTGGAGTGAGACAAAAGCGGGCCTCCTGGGCAGCATCCTTCAAGCCCTGGGCAGTCGGGTGCTCACTTGCACTCACTTTCCTTGTGGGAGAGATTGTGGGCTGAGGGGGTCTCTCTTAGCACTTAGTTGTGCTGTCTTGGGTGAAGGGTAACACAGGTAAGGTGAAACTATTCTTCTCCTCTTCAGTGTATCCACTCTTGGATTTTTTGCTTCATCAAGGTGCTAGGACCTCTAGCTGGATTCCCGAGCTCTCATAAAAGTATTCTAATCTGTGGGTATTTTGAGAACTGGAACCTACTAGTCCATCATCTTGTTGACATCTCTTACATTTTTTAAGATGAAATCTTTGACCACCTAGAATTTGTTTTCATTTAAGATGTGAAATAAGGATACAAGTTCATATTGTTTTGCAATCCAGGTTCAAGTAGTTAACTACTTGTTTGAACACCATCCAGGTTCAAGTAGTTAACTACTTGTTTGAACACCATTTGTCAATAATCCATCTTTCCCCCCAGAGTAGATTCCATTTCCCACTGCCCATCTTTGGGCTTTCTAGTCTTTTCACTGCTCTTTTTGCCTACTCTGTGAGTCAGTACATTTTAATTCTTTAAGCTTTGTACTATATTTTAATATCTAGAGGGGCCCATTCAAAAGGCATTTAATCTGTTTCAGAAAACAGAATGGAGGAGGAAAATGAAGACACTGCAGGAAGAGCATGCAGCTCAGAAGAGAGAGGTAGGTCTCACCGGACTGTCTTGGGGAGCCTGGTTTCCCATGACTTCCTCTCATCCTTTAGCTCCCCATCCTTTGCCCCCTGCCTTGAACTGGTTGGCAGATATTTTGTTGCTGACATGGTTCCTCGTTGCTGAGCCCCGTCAATACACAGAGGGGCAGCTGCCCAGACGGCTGCTTCCCTGGCTGGAAGCAGGTGCCTCTAGGCCTTCTCTTCTGAATCCGGCACATCCTTTCTCCTTTCTTCATTGACCCCTTAAGGCTCTCTAAGTAGGGCTGTTCTTTAAAACTCAGAGAATTGCCTGGTCATTCAGTGTTTGGGCCCTCCTTTGAAACCCCACCCAGGAGAGATCCAGGTGGTTGTGGACCTCAGCGATAGTTCAGGGGCAGCTCAAATGGAAGGGTTCAGACACTGAGACCAGTGGGGAGAGACCAGTGGTCCTCAGGACAGAGAAACCAGCTTCTATAAAAATGTCCCCGAGGATAAGGCAAGTGGAGGATGAAGCCAGTTAAGAAGAGCCCTAGGTTCTGCTTCAGAAAGCTCAGAAGGTAAAAGTGCTTAGATCTGAGTCTGGTGCATGATGGATGGCCCCCCATTCAAATGGTTCCCATCTGATAAGTTTATCTTTAAAAAAAAATCTTTATGTATTTATTCTTTGGTTGTTCCATGCAGCTTGTGGGATCTTAGTTCCCTGACCAGGGATCAAACGCTTGGCCCCTGCATTGGGAGTGGAGCGTCTCAACCATTGGACCACCAAGGAAGTCCCTGATAAGTTTATCTTATTTGAAAAATTCAAAAATGGGAAATGCATTCAAGTTTATTCCAAAAAGCAGAAGAGCTATATTAAGATACATGGAGTAAAGTCTCACTTCTGCCCCATTTCCACCTACCCATCCCCAACACCCACCCCACAGGTGACCACTTTTAGTGCATTCTTGTATTCTTCTAGAGGTTCTTTATGCAGAAATAAGTGGTGTCATTTTCTCTCTGCTCTTAGATCAGAGGTAGCTTGTAACCACATTTCCTTCATCTTTTGTCTTCACCTAAAAGTGCCCATTTGATGATTTTTGAATGACCTCAGCTTACCTGAGTGTCTTGTGGGTGACACACCTGACAGAGAGCCTCCGCCCTGACCTTAGGGGCCTGCACTCAATTCTCACTTCTCCTCGGGTACCACTTAAAACGTCCTCGAATAGGAAGGGAGTGAGTCTTGCTGGAAAGCTACTTTCCCGGGTCTGGAAACCCTCCACCTACTTCAGGTGGAACTCCAGCCAGCGTTTGCCCACAGGAGCAGGCCCTGCAGGCTCTGAGCTCCCAGAGGTCACTGCAGACAGGTGACTGACCAGCCACCCTGTGCTGCCAGCTGCAGGAGCAGAACGAGAGGCTCCAGGCTACCCTGTCTCAGGATCAGAGGAAAGCAGCCGCCCAGGCCCAGCGCCAGATCAGTGCCCTCCACGCCCAGCTCCAGGAACAAGCCAGGCTCATCGCCTCCCAGGAGGAGATGGTAGGTGTGTCCCCCCTCCCAGCCGGGACCTGGAGCCATAGACCCCGTCCCTGTGAGGATCTCCTTAGAGTCTCTTGGACTTGTTGGCTCCAGTCTCATTAGTTAGGGGCTCTGAGAAGAGGGAAGAGCCCTCAGACTTGAGGGGCAGAAAGTGATGAAGATGTGGAAGACGTGACTGCTGTCCTTAGGGGTTGTGTTGGTGGGTTCCCAGTACCAGCAGAGACCGTGTGAATGCCAGCGCCTGGTTGATACTTTGCTTATTCCTCCATGTAAACCTCACTGCTGCCTTTCAAGGTAGACATTACCTTCTCCCCAGTGTACTTTGACAGAGGATGAGACAGGCTGGAGAAGTTAAGCACCTCAGTTGAGTCTACACAGTGCATGTTATAAATGACAGGGGTGAGAGTCAACCCTAGCCCAGGTAGGTGGAATACGAAACCTGTGCTCCTTTCACTGTGTTCTCAGACACCATTTATTAACTAATTTCCTTTTTCATAAGTTAACAGCCTCTGAGGAGGTTGTTAGGTAAGCTAGTATGACGAGAAGGCATCACTTACTAAGCACCCTTCTTCTAAAACTCGCCCCTCTGACTCTTCATCTAATGCGGATCATTCTCTGCTCAGCCCAGATGTAGCTCCCCTTTCTGAGCCCCAGGTCGGTGGAGACATATATCTGTCCCCAGCTGGGCCCTCCTCTGGCCTCAGGTCCTTGCCATGAACCACCCTCCCCATAGCTTTCCTGGGCAGAACACCCACTGTCACTATCTAATCCACTGTTCCTATACCTCTTGCTATTTGTGCCTTTCTGTGCTTCCAGCTGTCAACATATCTAACCCACTTCCTTGCTGCTTTTCTTTTTACTACTTCCCCTAACACATTTAGCTCTTCAAAGCTGTGGCTGCCTGGAGGTTTCCTCCTTTCGTTACCAGAATTCTAATTTATAGTTGTTTCAGTTAGGAACCCACTGGCTAAATATAACAGAATAGGTTAACGGGTGTTTATTTTTATTGTAACACCAAAAGAGGTCACGATTTAGCAGCAACATTATGCCATTGGAATTCTAGACTGTTATTATTAATTATTTTTAATTGCTGTCTTTAGCATATTCCCTGGTGAAGAATAATGGTGAAGAATCTGCCTGCTATTTGAGAGACCCCAGTTTGATCTCTGGGTTAGGAAGATCCCCTAGAGAAGAGAATGGCAACCCACCCCAGTATTCTTGCCTGGAGAATCCCATGGAAAGAGAAGCCTCATGGGCTATAGTCCATGGGGTTGCAAAGTGTCAGTGACTGAGTGACTAACACTTTCATTTTCACTTGAGCCTACTGACTGACTCTGATAGTTGCAAAATGGCTGCCATAGCCCCAACCATCACAACCATATTCAATGGAAAAAGTTGATGAGAGGCTCTTCTCCAGGCTTCTACTTATATTTTACTAGTCAAAACTGTGGAAACTATAGTTGTGAGGAAGGTTAGAAAAGAAATAATTAGCTTTATACTTTCTAGGATAGAGGTAAGCAAAGGAGGAATAGAAATGGACATTGGATGAGTCATTCATCAGTAAGTAGTGAAAAACAACTCAAGCCTAAGCAGAAGAGGAGATTTGTCATAAGGTTAGATAAGGTCTCTTAGAAAACTCAAGGCAGGGCAACAGCTAAGTCTAGGAATAAACTGAATCCAAAGACATGAAATGTGGTCAAGTCATTGCTCTGTGGTATGTCTCTGTTCCTTTTTCTGTAACTGTTTTGATTTTTCCTGTGAAGGTCAGCTTCTATTCCATGTCTGCCCCATGTGGCAAAACAAAGAAAATAAAAACTCAACCCAGTTAGCTGCCCAGAGCTCTTGAGTCCACATGTTACCAATCCAGAATTCTCTGCCCAAACCTGGACAGTCAGCTATGGCTGTGGTGTGGGGGTCACGTCGTCACAAGGGGCTGTCCTGCCTGCGACTATGTAAACCGAGGAAGAAGAGGCACTTCCTGGCGAAGAGGGGTTGAGCAGAGAGTCAGTGACTGTTTACATCCTGCCCCCTCCCCCAGGGGGCACTCAGCTCAGAGGCCCACATCTCAGGAGTGCAGCCTCCCTGGTCCTGGCTGAGGTTACTTTTGTGTTTGTGCCCCTCTGCTGCGTGGGGTTCCTGTGCTTCAGGCCACAGTCCCTCTATAGAGGGGCCTTCTTGACTCCCCACCATGGGGAAATGGAGCATGGTGCCAACCTGACTGCCACTGTTCAGTCTTGGGGCCCTGCCCTCACATCTCCATGGCAGGAGGTGTGTTGTGGGGCTGGGGCAGAGTATTCTGAGCTCCAGCTCCCAGTGGATGGTGTGGAAACACTGGCCGTCCCTTCTTCACAGAGCTAGGCAGCCCCACCGCTCACAGCAGAGCCCCCTGCTGGGTGTAACCTGCTTTGTTCCATGTCTTTGCAGATGCAGGCCATGTCTCTCCGGAAGGTGGAGGGTAAGTCTGTTGTCTCGGCCTCTCCTGTCTCCTGTCTCTCCTGCCTCTGATCCCCTCCCCTATCTCTGTCATGCTATACCAGTCAATGTATAGGATGAGGATGGTGGCAGCTGCTCGGGGACCTGTGGCGTCAGGCTCTCTGGCTGGACAAGGGAGGGTGAGAAGATGCTTGTTTCCAGGACAGACAGGGCTCTAGCCCAGTTCATGCTGAAGGCACTCTGTGCAGGTAGCAGGGTTTCTTGCCTGGCCTGCTCTTCTCTGTAGGATGAGGGAGACATGAAGTGGGGTGAGGGATGGGGTGGGGTGAGGGAATCCTGGGCGGGAGGTGATGGATGGAGTGGCAGGGCTTGTGAATTCACCACAACTGTGATTCAGTTCCATCCAGCTTTACCTTGTTTCCATCCTGCAGCAAGTTGACCCCAAATCTCTGTGAATATGCCTGTCTAGAGAGTCTGCCCTCCTCGTCTTGTGTGCGTGCTTCTTAGTGTGTGTGTCTGACAGATGCAGGTGCTGATGTCTAAAGGGCGACAGTAACCTATAGGGGACCAGCCTGCTTGGAGGACCTTGCTACCCCTTGTGAAACCTTCTGACTCCACCCCACCTCCGCTGCCCTATGTCTGTAGCTTCCCTTCTGCCTTTTCTGGCAAACCCACACATCTTCCCCATTCTCTGCCTTGAGGTTAGATGTTTCTTTTGCAGTCTTGCAACCAGTTCGGAGAGGCACCGTTCTATGGCTGTGATCTGAGTGCTGGGGCTGGGGCATGTGTGTCTGTGCGTGCTCAGTTGCTCAGTCACGTCCGACTCTTTGTGACTCCACCAGGCTCCTCTGTTCATGGAATTCTTTAGGCAAGAATACTGGGATGGGTAGGCCATTTCCTACTCTAGGAGATCTTCCCACCCAGAGATCGAACATGCATCTCTTGCATCTCCTGCATTGGCAAGCCAATTTTTTTTTTTTTTACCACTGAGCCACCTGGGAAGCCCAGGGCTGGGGTGGACCATTAATGAGAGCTGTGTGTCATAGACTTCAGATCCATTGTCTCAGCACTTTGTCCCCACACTTTAGTGAGGGATGGGGGGTATGACTGTCCTCACTTTCTAGAAGAGGCACCTGAGGCTTAGAGAAGTTCAAGGACTTGTGTCATGGGCAGCTAGTGAGGGACAGAGCTGGAATGTGGATTCTGATCTTTCTGCCTCCAAGGTGATGGTTGTGATCACTACTTCATCCTGCCTCTGTCTGCTAGAGGACTGACTCGAGTCCTTGCTCTTTGTGGCCTGCACTCACGTGCTGTCCTGTGCTCTTCTCTGAGGTGGGGGTGGGGCCCAAGGCCCTGGCGACACTAACTACTCCTGCTCTTCTCAGGGATCCGTGAGGGCCCGAAGACTGTGGACACAGATGCGGACTCTTCCGAGGAAGGTGAGGCTCCAGTTTCTTCCCTGGCGGCTGCCCTCTTCATTGTTGAGTTTGTCCCTATGTAACTGGATCTGGCTGCCTGAATCTGGGTGCAGGGAACTAGGGATATGAAGTAAAATATTTCTTAAGCACCCTGTGCTTGTCAGGCACATTACATGAAGGCACACATGTGCAGCCTCCTGGTTCTCCCTGGCTCAGAGAAGATCAGTGAGTTGCCCAGAGTGACAGGGCAGCAGGTGGTGCAAACACAAGCACGTACATGTATGCATTCTTTTCCTTTTTCCTAAATGGGAGCACAGTGTACATATTGTTCTATGGTTGTTTCATAACAACTTATTTGGGGGGTCATTTCTTATCCCTTTATATAGAACTGCTCCATTATTTTTTCAGGACTTCACAGTACTCTATCGGATGGGTGAACCAAAATTTAGTCAGTCCTCTGCTACCATCCCGCCCCAGTGTACTTAACCTTGGAATATAGTAGTAAAAATAAGTTACAGGTAACCCTGAGTAACACAAGGTCCACAGTGAGGATGAACTAAATCCTCCAGTGGGGGCACAGTGTTCTAGGAGGTGGACACTGAGTGAGGGAGACGCCTCCCCACCTCCTCCACACCCCATCACGTTGCAGGGAGGACCCAGACTTTGGTCAGACTCTGCTGTTCCTCTTTACTTGGCTTTTCCACTTCTAGTGTCAGACCAGCAGGAGCAGCATCCCCTGGTAACTTGGCTAGAAATGCAGATTTTCAAATTCTCAGTCCCAGGCCGCACAGACTGAATCAGAACTTCTGGGGCAGGGCCTAGCTATTTCTGTCTGCACCTGCCCTCCTGGGCACTCCGGTGCTTGCTCAAGTTTGAGGACCTCTGTGGGTCCCACAGCTCTCTGAGATGGTCGCACACTAAGAATCTCCCGGGTTGCTTGCAGCTCTCTGGAGAAGCACAGCAGCCGCCTGCTGCCTCGATCACCACACGCAGGGCAGGGCTTCGGGCATCAGTCGTACACAAAGCTCCAACAGTGATTTCAGTATACAGCCAAGTTGGAGATCATGCCTTGTGCAGACTCAGCAGATAATTCAACCCTGGGGGCGAGGGAGGACTTGTTAAAACACAGATTGCTGGGCTCTACCTCCTGAAGTCTCGATTCAGTCAGGTTGAAGTGGTGGAGTAGGAAATGGCAACTTCCCTGGAGAATTCCATGGACAGAAGAGCCTGGTGGGCTACAGTCCATGGTCACAAAGAGTCAGACACGACTGAGCAACTAACACACAGGTTGGAGTGGGGATCTGAGAATCTGTGTTTTTAATAAGTGACAGGTGGCTCCCATACCGTGGCTCACACTTTGAGAACTGCTGCTCTAGACCAATTGGTCTTCAGGCATGGCTGTTAGAACTGGGAAGTTTCACAAATAGATCTTAAGGCCTGGGGCTGACCCTCTTAAGATTCTGATATACTTAGTTTGGGATGGAGCCCAGGTGTTTCAAATATGCAACCAAAGGATAAAATTACTACTTGACTTTGAGCTCCTTGAGGGTTTTCTTCTGTGTCCCCAGTGCTGGCCTGTTCACACTCATATTACTTGTCAGTAGGCTGGTCCACCTCTAACCATAGTGGCCCCTGGCATTAGACCTGAAGAGCACTTCTGGGAGGTCTTCCCTGACTCACCCTGGATAGCCCCTTTATAGCAGTAATCACATTTTATTTTAATTGCCTATTTTGTTACCCTCTGGGTCAGTAGGTCTTCCCCAGTGGCTAAGTGGTAAAGAATCAGCCTGCAATGCAGGAGTTGCAGGAGATGCAGGTTTGATCCCTGGGTCGGGACGATCCCCTGGAGGAGGACATGGCCACCCACTCCAATATTCTTGTCTGGAGAGTCCCATGGACAGAGGAGCCTGGTGGGCTACAGTCCATGGGGTTGCAAAGAGTTGGTCATGACTAAAGCTACTTAGCACGCATGCACACTGGGTCAGTATTTCTTAAGGAGTGGTCTGTGGCTCACCTCCATCAGAATCATCTGAGCAAGTTAAAATGCAGGGCCCTTCCCCAGATCTGTGGAATCAGACTCTGGAAGGTGGGGCCAGAGAATCTGTACTTTAAACCCATGCAATTCTACTGTATTTAGTTGGAGGGAGAACACATAATTTAGACAGTAGACTCGAGGGGAGCAGGCAGCTGTCTGTCCTATGTATATGTGTATACATATATCATGAATGTGAATCAAATCATTATGCTGTACATCTTAAATGTATACAATGCTGTATGTCAGTTATACTCAATAAATTTGGGTGAGGAGAGAGAGGAGGAAGAGTGGAGCCCAGGGAACAAGCTGCTGTTGGGAATCAAAACCCCAAAAGCTCTGAGTCAGCCTGGGACAGGACTGAGCCAGATCTTGAAGGTACAGGGGATGAGGGTCCCAAAGATGGGTTGAGGGTCTGCTGCCGTGATTCTCAGAGGAACAACCTGGGGATGGACACTCAGGTGGGGTCTGTGGCCCTGGGTCATAGGCTGGAGACCATGATTCCTGGCTGGTGCCCTGGGGCTCTGGGAGCGGAGGTTCTGGGCACCCCGGCTGACCTTTGTGGTTGTCTTGTGCTGCAGAGCTGGAGGACTCCCACAGTGGACAGCAGAAGGTGCTGGAAGCCCTGAGGCGAAACCCAACCTTGCTGAAGCAGTTCAGACCAGTCCTGGAGGACACCCTGGAGGAGAAGCTGGAAAGCATGGGGATAAAGAGAGTGAGTTCCGGTACCACCGTGGCAGGGCCACACCTACCGTTTGGACACAGGCCGTTCTGAAACCAACAAAGGGTCAATTGTTCTTTATCGTGTAATCTTATTCATCTCATTCGTTCCAGTGGGGCACCCTTGGTGTCCGGGAACATAAGCCTACACAGATGGCACTGTGATCTCTCCTGTTTGCTCCAGTGGCTTCCTGAGACGTCACCCCATGCCCTGGCCTCCCCGTGCTCTCCACTTATTGGCTACTCTCTCTGTGTCTCTCTTTCTTTTTCTTTGTTGTCATTCACATATTCAGCAAATATTTATTGAGCACCTTTATGCAAACTAACTGTTGTACTAGGTTCCGAGAAAACTGGAGAAGGAAATGGCAACCCACTCCAGTATTCTTGCCTGGAGAATTCCGTGCACAGAGGAGCCTGGCAGGCTACAGTTTATGGGGTCACAAAGAGTTGGACACAACTGAAGTGACTTAGCACACACGCATGCTGAGAATACAGTGATGAATTAGAACTGAAACTTTTTTTCATGGAGTTTATAGATGGTAGGGAACTCAGATACTAAACAATGGTTGTCCAGAAATTTAATAATTTAACATTGTGAAATGCTCTGCAAGTGAAGTATTGGATGCTATAAGAATGAATAATAAGGGGATGTGCCTTAGTTTGAAGGTCCAGGTCTGATGGTGGACATTAAGTGAACAAGGAATTCCCTGGTGGCTCAGATGGTAAAGAATCCACCTGCAATGCAGGAGACCTGGGTTTGATCACTGGGTTAGGGAGATCCCCTGAAGAAGGGAATGGCAACCCACTCCAGTATTCTTGCCTGGAGAATTCCATGGACAGAGAAGCCGCCTGGTGGGCTACAGTCCATGGGGTTGCCAAAAAACTCAACTGAGTGACTAATACTTTCACTTTTCATATTGATATTATTTTGACAAATTACAGTTAGATAGTCTTGGTGGAACTATTAAACAAGATGTCCCATCTTCTCCTGGACAAAGGGACCATACGTGCTCCAAACTACTATGTCTCCATTTTCTGACAAGGGGAATTTAATTGGCTCAATCTGGCCTTTGGAGGGTGAAGTGTCCATTATCAGTGGTACCCGTGGCCATGCCCACACAGAGGTGGCTGTGGGTGGAGCAGGCTCTGAAAGCCCTATCTGGTACAAATTAATATTTGAACACCATTGTTTTCTCATGCTCCTGTTCAACCAGAGTATACATATTATAATTAAAGGCATCAGTGAAATCCATGATTAAAAACACCCACCTTATTACTAAGGCAGCTGGCATATCACATCATTGAGGATACTGTGTGTATAGAGTAAAGTAAGAAAAAAACCCAAACACGTAGGTTTACTTTAGCAAAGATGCTCCCTAATCATTGACTTTTTTCAACTGCTGCTCAATCTAACTTTGGCCTTATGTTCAGACTTGATTAAAAAATTTCTTCTAATCTTAAATTATTCCTCAAGGGTGGATGTCAAAAGCCCAAGAAACATCCAATAAATGTTGGAAGGGTGCCTGGCTTCGATTTTTTGCAGCTGATGTTTTCAGCCATTGTCAGCCACGGAGGACAATGTTTCCGGCCAAATGATAATGCAGGTACAGAAAGGAGCAAACCCCGCTCTCCCACAAGGATAGTGGAGAGGCATGGCCCATCTCAGCCTGTGTGCTTGATGTTGATAGAACTGTGCGTAGCCCCTCTGCACCATCCTTCTACTCGTGCTTTGCTGGGGCTCCCAAGCCCTAGCCCACCTCCGTTTCAGCAACCTGCTCGCCCTGCCCGGATGCTCAGCTCATCCTCTCCCAGAGGCACCAGCACGGATCCCAGCGACTCCCAGGCCAGCAGCAGGTGTGAGAGGCCGAAGGAAGGAGCAGAGGAGCCCATCTCCAAAGGGAACCTCTGTGTCTTCCAGGATGCCAAGGGAATCCCCACTCAGACCCTCAGACACCTGGAGTCCATCCTGCGAACCCAGCGGGAGCAGAAGGCCAGGAGGTTTTCCGAGTTTCTGAGCCTGAGGGAGAAGCTCATTAAGGAAGCCACCAGCAGAGTGAAGGACAGACAGAGGGACGGGGCCCCGGTGTCCCAGCCAGAGGGTGAGGTGCCAGGTGAGCCGGCAAGAGGGCCTGCTTAGGACTGGGAGCTGGGAGGGTCCAGGCTTGTTTGCATTTGCGGAGGAGGGATATAATCTCTGTCTTCATCGGGGCATTGCTCATTGCTCAGAAGGGCCAGACAATAGGGCTCTTGCAGATGGCTGAGTCCAAAAGACCTCTGTTGGAAAAACAGGGTCTAGGGGTGGGGTGGTCACCTGGGTCCCTCAGGGAAGCAGAGAACCAGGACCGCTGTCCCTGCTCAGACACAGGGCCTCCTCAGCAGCTCAGTTCTGCACTGTTTTGCTTGCTTGAACCACAGGCTGAACTTGGCTCCAACAGAGTGTTGTCAGCTCAGGGGCTGCAGATGAAAGCAAGGATCAATCAAATGGAATATTCTGCCCTAGAGCTGTGGGAGGGCGCGAGAGGCTGGGCCAGTTCAGTAGGCGGACACATCCTCAGAGCTCAGACTCCTTCCCTGGGTGAGCCAGCTGCTTTGTCCCTGGGGGTTGTGGCAAGGAAAGGCCTGTGTGTGGTTCCTGTGGAAGACTGAAGTATGTGGGTGAGGGCCCTCTGGTCTCTGTCCTCAAGGAACTTAGGAAGCAAGGGAATTGTGTCTTTGCAATAGGAGCCCCCGTCTTCTAGAGGGGTCCCAGATCCTCATGCAGGATGATGCCCTAGCTCCTTGCAGTCATGGGTGTATGTGGTCAGAGGAGGGTCACTTTTGTTATCTCCTCATGTCCAGGCAGACCCAACTGAGCTCTTTGTGCAAAGGAAGTTTCCAGATGTGGTATACACATCTCTGGGAGGTATGTGGGATAATTTTAGCTATCTATATTTTAGTTATTTGATACATGAATCAATAATTTTAAGATTTAATCTTTATTTTTCTTCATGTACATTTGAAAAATATTACTAACATAGCAACCCTGAAAGCTCGTGGAAATGATTACTTGAGTAAGTATGAAGTGGGAATTTTATGTTTAATAGTGGTATCATTTTCTATAAAAATGTTACATAGAAAACAGGACAGTTAGTATGAGAATACAGTAAAAATTGTATCAGTGGTCTGGGTAACTCTGTTCTATTTGGTTTAAACACCTGACCTTAAAATCTAAGGAAAGGATAGTTTTCAGTCTTGCACAGAAATCTCAATCGAAGGAGATTTGTCACAAAGCCTTCTGCCTCAAATGTTCCTTCATTCCTAATTTGTTTAATTTAGTGCAGTATTTACTGAGATTGGGCTTCCCTGGTAGCTCAGCTGGTACAGAATCTGCCTGCAATGCAGGAGACCCAGGTTCGATTCCTGAGTCGGGAAGTTCCCCTAAAGAAATGTTAGGCTACCCACTCCAGTATTCTTGCCTGGAGAATTCCATGGACAGGGGAGCCTGGTGGGCTGTAGTCCAAGGGGTCACAAAGAGTCAGACACGACTGAGAGACTTTCACTTTTCACTTTACTGACGTTGATCTGGGCCAGGGCCTGCCCCTCAGCTGGAAACCAGCCAGAACTAGGTGATGTGATGGGGTCCAGCATAGGCCAGGGCAGCTCAGAGGAGAGGGGACAGGCCCCAGGGGTGGGGATGGGGGTGGATGGAAGCCCCTCTGAGTCCCGGTTTCCAAGAGAAGAGAAAGGCTTCTTGCTCTTGTGGTGCCACCCCCTCCCCCAGCGCTTGTGCCTGTGGTCCCAGAGCCTGGGGTAGGAGCATCCCTGCCCCCCACTGTCTGTCTCCCCTTCCCTGGCCTTGGGTCCTGCCTTCTCAGGGCCTGTTACTGACCTGTGGGATGAGCTCTGTTATCTCGGCATTTCTTAGACCACTTTCTGGCTCTGCACCCACGTGCTCTCTTTCTAGTCCCCAGGAGTGTTATACAAATACGCACCTCCCGTCTCTGCTCAGACCATGCCTCTTTTGTCTGGGGGCAAAGCTGGGGGATGTAGCCCAGGCAGTGGCAAAAGCCCGAGATTTGGGGTGACTGACCCCCTAGGTTTGCATCTGCCATGGACTTCCATGGAATCGTGGGTCTTGAGCAAGTTCCTGAAGCTCTGGAAGCCTGTCAGGCTAAATGGATGTTGGATGTAAAGTGCTTAGCTTGGTCTGTGCACTGTAACTGTAGCTATTATTATTTTCCCTCAGCAAGTTTACTTTAGCCAGTTACCTTTAGTTTGCTCTTTCCTAGAAGGCTCACTTCTGTGTAAATGCATCCTCCGAGAGTAGTGCATTTCAAACACCTTTAACTTTGAAATACAGTAAGAAATGCATTTTATTCTGTGGCTCAGTCCATACTTTTGAGTTTCATGAAACAGTACTACTTTGCCTCCCTGTGATGTACTTTCTCTGCTCTGCTCTTTGTATAAAAAAATCGTCGGTCCTGCAGCACCCGCCCGCCCCCACGCTCTGCCCTCCTGATAATTCGGAAGAGGGAGGGGCTGTGTCTGATTTCCTGCCTTAACTCCAGCCACAGGCCCCTTCTGGGAGGAGGTGTGCGGATCTTGACGGCCCAGGTGGTCCTACAGTGCCCTCTGGTGGCCTCAGGGCCTTCCTGCAAGGCTGCCTGAGCTCCAGCAGCAGCCTCGGGTTGGGTAGACAGGGTAGGCGGCCTTGGCAAGGCCAGCTTCTAGGATTGTGTCGGGGGTGAGCTGCAGACACGCTGGGCCCCTCCTTAGACCTGCTGCCTCCCATAGGTCTCCTGGAATGATGACATGACTCCGGAACACCAGTCGCTCTCCTGGTCTTTGATGAAACTGGGGGTCCCAGCCCCAGGCCTGGCTGGCAGTGGGATACTTGGGGTGGGGGAAATAATTAAATCTGCTGTGGTTATAGCAGTACACTGCACAGAGTGACTTGTCCTTTTCCAGTGTGTTGGAGCCTCTCTCTGCCTCCTCTCAGGCTTGAGGGTCCAGATGGATGTGCCCTGAAATGCATTCTTATCTGTGTTTCTAGTCAAAAGTCAGCAGAGTCCACTGGTCACCAAAGAGGCCCAGCCAAAGGCCAGGACCGTGCCTGTGGCACAGCCATCCAAGCCGGCAGAGCCCCCCGTGACAAGTCTCCAGGGCCGCAGCAGCCACAGCCTGGGCCTGGCCCCGGGACCCACCCCTACTCCTCGCTCCAGAGCGTCGGGACCCCCTGGCACCCCTCCATCCCCAGGGCCTGGGCTGAGGTGAGCTGGGCTCTGCATTCTCATAGAGTCCATGGTGTGGCTCCCACCCTGTCCTGGGCCCCCCACCAGCTTCCGCAGACAGGTGAGGGGCAGAAAGAAGTGAGCAAGAGGGGCCTCAGGTGGGGTCCAACCCATGAAGAGACAGGAATCCCTTGCTCCTGGCCAGGACAAACCTCCCGTCCTCTTACTGACCCATCCCCAAGCCCCAGTTGCCACCCTGGAGGGGCTGGGTCTTCATCTTCTAACAGAGGCTGGCTGCCCCTCTCCAGATGACTCCTGGCTGGTGTCTGGGCCCAGGAGTGCCAGGGGCAGAACTGGCTTGGGCCATCCAGCTTGCAAGTGGTGAAGTGTGGCTGTGACCATCTTCCTTCCGGCTCACGCACTCCTCATTTCCTCTCCTTCTTGACAGTACGCCCCCGTTCAGTTCTGAAGAGGACTCGGAGGGAGATGCTAGGCCTCATGTGTCCCTCCAGCCCCCAAGAGTTCCTTCGAGGGTGGGGCCCCGGCCGCAGGATGACTGGGACTGGTCTGACACCGAGACCTCGGAGGGGAGTGCCCAGTCCCCTGGCAAGGGCTCAGGCGGGCTGGCCTCCTCAGGTGAGGAAGGTTTTCTTATAGAACTATTAACGAGGCTTGTAGCTGCTGGCTTCAGTTGCATTTTCTAGCCAAAGTTTAAAGAATATAGAGCTTGGGTTTTGTCTTTCCAAAGGCAGTAAGTGGACGAGCTGGGGGGTAAGCCAGTTCTGTGCCATCTGCCAAGTCTACAGTGTTATGAATTTTGCAGAACTTCATCTTGTCCATGGCATGGTCCCAGCCTGCCAGCCCATCGAATCCCCCAGAACCAGATCTCTGGAGAAGAACTGATGACCTGCCAGGTGGATGATAGGGCGTAAACATCTAGGAACTGGGAGTGTGGAGTCCTTAAACACACTTTGGGCTCTGTGACTTGCTCCCTGTGTGCTGGTGTGGAGGGTTTTGGTTCCTTTGTTGTAAAGGGAGGTATCTGGATAAGATGAGTGATGAAGGGCAAGGAACATAGTATGAACATAGTAGACCCTTAACTAACTGGTTTTTTATCAATCAGTGAGCCAAGGGTCATCATCTCTCTGGACCTCTGCTCAGGCCCCCAGACATTTGAATCCTGAAAGGCCATGGCTGGCTCCCTGCTTCCTGGCCAGTCCTGAGGTCTGAACATCCACCTTGCTTTCTCACACTGATAATGCAGTCTTTGCTTAGCCCCCTTCCTGCGTGGAGTTCATAGAAAGTGGATCTGGCTCCACAATCCTCCTGTGCGAATTTATATTGATGATATTTCTTCATTTCTCTGTGAAGATGTTGGAGGAAAAACTGCGTATTAATCTTGCAGTTCATGTACCAACTGAGCAGCAGTTCCTCCTGCTAAGAGGAAAGGGCAGCTTGCTAAGCTTCTGTGCCCAGCCATGCTCTTCAGGACATAGTACATTTCTGGATGTTCCAAGCCTCTTCTCCCCGCACACACTGGCCTGGGCCTCTCTCTCCTTGCCTGTCTTCTACTGCCTTTGTCCTTCCTTGTTCCCTTCGGACTCTTCTCCACGCTCCCTTCATCCACACTGGAGCTGAGACATGACCCATGGGGATGATGCATTCATACTCTGGTCTTCTCCCCTGGTTGCCTTCCAGGAACGCTGGTGCAATCGATGGTCAGAAACCTTGAGAAGCAGCTGGAAGCTCCAGCCAAGAAGCCTGCTGGAGGGGTCAGTCTGTTCTCAGTGCCCAGTGCCAGGCCACAGAGAGCTGCTGTGCCAGGAGGAAAGCCCCAGGTAGGCTGTAGGACCTAGAGGCTCCCCTGCAGTCTCTTACAGAGCCAGCTCCGAGCTTGGGGCCCTGGGCTGGGCCTGAGGGCGCGCCGTGTGCGTTGACCTCATGCCCCTCGTCTCCTCTGCCCCTGCAGGAGCGGCGGGATGCCCACTCTCCAGTGCTTGTTGTTTGTGTCCCGTGTTAACATCAAAAAGCCTTGTGTTCATTGCGTGAACAACTGCTCGGTGGGTTGTTTCTCCCAGCCACGCCCCAACTTCTGGCTCTATGGGGCCTGGACCTGGCTCTGTGCCTGGCTTCCAGCAGTAGCTGCTCTGTTTGGGCTCCAGCTCATCCCACAGCCAAGCTCTCCCCTTTCTTCACTCCCCGAGGACCCCAGCACAGGACTGTGTGCAGAGCAGACTGCTCCATAATACACAGTGGGGACGCTAGGCACCTTTGTTCCAAATGTCCAAGGCCATTCCTCATCACTAAGAATGTCTTAATGGCCTTGCCTCTCTCCGGCTCCAGCTGCCATCAGATTTATCGCTCAGATGCTCAGCCTCCCAGACCATTCCCGTTAGGATGTCCTTGCCACCTCCCTTCTCCCCCTAACAGAACCACTTCTGTATTCCTGTTGTGTTTTCTTAGGCAGAAACATTTCAAGCTCTTGTAACTTTACACTCCTTTCTCAATCAGAAAGATGCATCCTAGGATGACCTATGTTATTGCTGTAAAATTCAGAAATAATGGGCAATCATTTTTCGGTTTTTCCTAGCATACACCTCCCCTGGCAACCCTAGCACCCACCTTGTGCTATGTAATATGTTCAGTTTATTATGTAGCTCATGTTTGTTTGTGAGTAATGAGTCTTAAGTGATTCAAAATGTCTTCAAAAAGAATTCATCCTCAGTTGTAAGAGAGCACTGACTGCCCTATGCAGGTTGAAGCACTGTCCAGAGCCTGCTTGCCACCTGGAGGTTTCTGATTGGGTGTCCTTACATGCCAAGGCAAATGGTCTGGGCACTGAGAGCTCTGGTGGGGGTGGGGGTGACCGTGATTCTGGTTCGGGGACAGCCTGAGAGTTTGGCCCACTCTGGGCTCCCCTGTTGGCCCTAGCTCAGACCTTTTCCAGGCTGAAGGATTCCTGCATTTGGAGTTCCCCTCACGCACCTTTGGTCAGAGTGTTTCTCAGCCCTGGACCAGCGGTCTGTGGCAGGTGGGTGGGTGCATTAGCCCCTGGTGTGTCAGCTCAGGAGTTTGGAGAAGTTAAGTCCCTGGACTTTGTCACTGTGGGCAGTTCAAAAATCTGGACAAAGTTTAAATTTCGACAAGAGCAACCTGATCTTCTACAGGCCTTGGGGCTGGCCTCAGCATGGCCAGTGGAATTTCAGGGGTGTTTGCAATGGCTGTGACCCCAGGTCTCTGAAGCAGGTTCTCAAAAGGCATGGAAATGAGAAGATGGGAGGAGTAGCGCCCCCTCCTGCTTTCTTCCAAATCTGCATTTTGTTCCCATGTCCATCCTCCCTGGTCAGATGCATTTTCTTCTCCCCTGTTCTCCCTGCAGCTTTCTGAGGATGAGAGTGACTTGGAGATCTCTTCCTTGGAAGATCTCCCGCAGGACCTAAACCAGAGAGAGAAACCGAAGCCCTTGTCTCGCTCAAGGCTCCCGGAGAAGTTTGGCGCCAGCTCTTGGAGCCCCAGTCAACCCAGGGTCCCTGGCTGGTGAGCCCACTTCTGATTCTGGCAGCCAGAGGACCAGCCTTGTCACCCAGCTGGGTGGGGCTGGCTCAGAACCCCCCAGCGATGGGGCTGCTGGGCATCTTGTCTTCCCCAGGAGCCAAGAGGTCTTCTCCTTGGACAGAAGCAGAGTAGAAGACAGATATTATTTCTCCTATCCCCCGTGAGAGCCCTGGCAGGGTCCCTTGGGTCCCAAGGCTAAGAAAGGGTTGTAACAGGACCTTGAAAGAGCATCCTTTTTCTACCTCCATGTTCACACCAGACTGAAAGGAGACACTTGGACTCTACTCTGCAGTGTCTTGTAAACCTTGGCAATACTGTAGAGCTGGGTCTTTTATGGGGTCCTTTGGGGGACTTACGCCTGAGTCAGTCATTCAGTAATTGACCCAAAGTCATTTACTGAGAGTGTCTGGCCTCTTACTGCTGAGCTGGGGTATAGGCAGAGATGGGGGTGGAAATGAAACGTACGGGGTCATAATAGAGATTGGGACGTTATGGGAGCACAGACAGAGTCTCTCAGTGCAGCTGGGTGTGAATGTGGAGAGCTTCCCAGAGCTGATGTCCTCAGGACCTGCTCATGGGTGAGAGGGAAGGAGGGCCACCTGGCTGGGGCGGCATATCTCCAAGGGACCACAAATTCAGTTTTGATAATATTTCTAAAATTAGGTTATATACATAACTATAGTATTTTTTTAATGTGAAGAGCATTAATTTATGTAAACCCTTAAATACAGCATGTTTATCACTCTCTGGTATTTCTTCCTTGTTTTTGGAGCTTCAGCAGGGACTGGGTCGGGGCCGGAGCCATCTGTACCCCAGCTGTCAATTTAGGACTTTGGGGTGACGTTGCCAAGATGGTGGTAACGGTGCGATGGGTTTGTTGGGGAGTCACTCCTGTGAAAAGTGAAGGCAGAAGAAGCTGGATCAGGGCAAGTGCTCAAGGGCAGTGTGGGTCTGACCCCCATGAGAGGAGGCGAGCAGGCAGCAGGAGTGGGCGAGGGGAGGCCAGACGCTGTGCAGCTGTCACCCCCACCAAGCTGGTGGGAGCTCCAGAGCAGGCCCAGCCCACCAGGGAGTCCCCACTGGGCCAGAGCCCACCCTGCTTGGCCATGGGCTGCGGTGCCCAGGAGAGTGAGAACTAGTAGAGTAGCCATGGTTTTCCATAAAGGGAAGCCCAGCCGTGCACCTCCAGGCCTCATGAGTAGAGGGAACAGACCCTTCAACCCTTACCAGCTCAGCTCATGGCCAATCTGGCTTCATCTGTTTTTCCCCACTACCTCGAGTCTCTCTCCAGCTCTCCATCCGGGCTTCTTTTGACCTCTGGGTGGTAAGCCCTGAGGTTCTAGCAGGAAGAACTAGGGGAAGTGAGGAGGAAAGGCATTGCATAAAGGGGCCTGGGGGTGGGGAGGCTTGGGGGTATCATGGTACCAAGCTGTTCAGTGAGGCTAGGGCACAGTTTATGAAGGGCCTTATGTGGGACCTGGGGTCAGCCCACCTTAGATGCTAGGGCATAAATTCCCTTTGTGGATCTTATACCTTTGAACAGCTGAGAATATGTATGGATTACCCCAGTGGCTCAGTGAGGAGGGGAAGGGGCAGTGAGTTGGGAGTGGTAGTGAGGTTCATCCCTCTCTCAGAAGTCTTCCAACAAAGTCATGCTTTCCTATTCACAGGCTTTGGGCGAGGGAGGTAAAAAAAGAAAAAAGATGCTTGTGGGGTCTCTTGCCACCTCCTGGTTTCCTGTAGCTCTGAGTGCACTACCGATGCCAGCTCTTCACATCACAGTGCACCCTGGGACCTCTGCTGCTTGTCCTCGGGTTGATTCTGATGTGGGAGGCTGCACGGGCTACATGTAGGTACAGCCTGGAAATGGCAGAGAGCTGACTCTACCAGGGCAGCCTGCACTCGAGGTGGAGTGGGAGTTGGTGAATAATTGCTCCAGCTTCCTGCCCTTTGGTTTGACAATTTGGAGGTTTATTCCACAGTTTTTCAAAGTCCCCAGGGTAGGTAAATCCCCGTTGCCTTGAACGTTACAACTTGTTAATACATCCTTTATTGGCCTTTCTCCTTCTGGTTTCACTTTTCTCACTCACATTTGCTTCTTGGGAGTACCTCTGAAATAAATTCACTTGTACCCAAATCTTTGCCTCAGGCTATGCTTTCAGGGTGACCCAAGTGAAAAAGATGTGAAAGCCCATGTGTTTTCACACACGCTGGTGATAATCACCCATGAAGAATGACTCTATTCCTGAATGTTCATAATTAAATCCTATGTTTCTTAATCTCTTTTTCTACTTTGGAGACTAATGTATTAGTTTTTCATTTGCCAAGCTCTGAAGAATTGATGCTTTTGAACTGTGGTGCTGGAGAAGACTCCTGAGAGTCCCTTGGACTGCAAGGAGATCAAACCAGTCAATCCTAAAGGAAATCAACCCTGAATATTCATTGGAAGGACTGATGTTGAAACTGAAGCTCCAATACTTTCGTCACCCGATGCAAAGAGCTGACTGATTGGAAAAGGCCCTGATGCTGGGAAAATTGAGGGCAGGAGGAGAAGGGGGCTATAGAAGATGAGATGGTTGGATGGCATTACCCACTCAATGGATATGAGTTTGAGCAACCTCAGGGAGATAGTGAAGGATAGGGAAGCCTGGTGTAGTTCTGTCCTTAGGGTCACAAAGAGTTGGACATGACTTAGCAACTGAGCAAATGCTGTTTATCCCTTCCCACTTTAAAATACATTGAAAAATTTGAGGGCAAATTTATAAGAACTTTGGAACATGTGTATTAATTAGGGTTCTCAGGCTTCCTCTGTGGCTCAGCTGGTAAAGAATCTGCCTGTTATGCGGCAGACCTAGGTTCGATCCCTGGTTTGGGAAGATCCCCTGGAGAAGGGAAAGGCTACCCACTTCAGTATTCTGGCCTGGAGAATTCCATGGATGACTGAGCAACTTTCACTTTTCCAGAGAAACAGAAGCAGTGGCATATAGATATAGATACAGATGTAGATTTAAATACATAGAAGAGGAAATTTATTATAGGAAGTGGCTCATACAGTAGGGAGGCCAGGAAGTCCCCTGATCTGCTCTATGCAGGGTTGGGAACCAGGAGAGAACCCAACCCCTGATGTTGGTCCTGGAGTGCGAAGGGCCGAGAACCAGGAGCTGGAATGCCCAAGGGCAGGAGAAGGTGGACATCCCACTCAAGAAGAGAGAGCTGAGTCATCCTTTCTTCTTTTTCCTTCCTTTCCATTCCATTTGGACCCTGGTGGATGGAATGATGCCCAGCCAGGCTGGTGAGAGTGGGTTTTCTTTATTCTGTCTACTGATTCAAATGCTAATCTCTTTCAGAGGCACCCTGAGAGACATGCCCAGAAATAAAGTTTTCCCAGCTATCTGAGCATTCCTTTGCCCAGTCAAGTCGACACATAAAATAAACCACCACAATATATTAAATTTATTATGTAATGTATTAAATTATTTTAAAATTATCCAAACAGTAAGATGATGTAGAAAAATTAGAAAACACAGATGAGCCAAAAGAAAAATAAATTTGAATAGCCCCCAACTCCAGAGTCAACTACTAGATATACATGCACTGATTAAAAAAATACATATGTCTCCTTCCTACAGTTCAACTATATTTATTCTTCTCTAACTTGATTTTCCTTCTTGAAAATAGATAATAAATTTCCTTACATCAGTACATATGTATCAACTTAATTATATTTAATGACCACATAGTATCACATGGTAAAGATTACAGAAATTTATTTAACCAGGCTTTTCTACTTTGGGCCTTTGATAAATCATGAAATGATAAACAAATGTGTATATACATCTTTGTGTGCTTAATTAAGATTTCCTTAGGATAAGTACTTAGAAGTGAGGTTGCTGAACCAACATGGTAATGAAAGCCAGCACTGTATGCCAGGCACTGGTCCAAGCTTCTTATGAATATTCACTGAACTTCACAGCAACTCTTTGAGGTGGTGACGCTCTTACAGTCATTTTGGGACCAGGGGCTGAGACACAGAGCAGTTAAGAAACCTGCCTTGAATCCCGTCTCCAGTAAGTGGTATGACTGGGATCCAATGGGGCTGGCAAGCCCTGGAGCTCTGGTTTCTCACCATGTATTTTGGGGAATTTTTGTTACATAAACACACTCCAGAAAACCTGAGCCACTTCAGTCTAATGTTTGAGATGCTCCTTTTAGCATTTCCTTGCCACCAGGGGGTATCATTCATCTTTAAATGCTTGGACAACATGATATGTAAAAAATGAAACCTCATCTTTGAAAAAATTTACACTTTTTAGTTTTCTCCTAAGGCAGGATTTTTTTTTTCATTTTCTTATTGATTATTTCTATTTCATCTTTCATAAATTGCCTGATTGTATTCTTGGTGCTCTTTGGGTCAGTTGATTCAATTTTCCTTGTTGCTTTTTTCTTTATCTGTTTATTATGGAAAATTTCCAGCATATATAAAAATACAGAGACTGTATAATGGCCTTGATGTTCTCATCACTCACCTTTAATAATTATCAGTATGTGATGACTCTTATTTCCTGCAAACCTCTTAGCAACATCCCCCAAATAGTCATATTATTAAATCTACAAATACTTCATATGTATCTTCCATATGTACTTTCTTTTCAAAATAACCACTATACCACCACCACTAAAACAAAAATCAGTAATATCTTCTAAACATTGTCTAATATCTACTGTGCTCACTGTGTCCTCTCTTTTCCTATATATTTAAGTCTCTTTTAATCCATAGATTCCTTCTCTATTTTCCCCTTCCTTCCTTCCTTCCCTCCCACATTTTCTTCCTCACAATCTTTATTATTATTTTGTTTTTGTTGCTAAAGAAATTTGGTTATTTGCCTAGAAGAATTCCCCCATCTGGATTCTGCTGACTACATTGCTATGATGGTGTTTAATGCATTCCTCTTTCCCCTGAACTATCTGTAAATTTCTAATTAGATCTAGAAATTGATCAGGTCTCCCTGGTAGCTCAGTCGGTAAAGAATCTGCAGGCAGTTCAGGAGACCTGGGTTGATCCCTACATCAGGAAGACCCCCTGGAGAAGGAAATGGCAAACCATTCCAGTTATTCTTGCCTGGAGAATTCCATGGACAGAGGAGCCTGGTAGGCTGCAGTCCATGAGGTTGCAAAGAGTCGAGCATGACTGAGTGACTAACAAGGACTGAATACATGATCAGTTTCAACTTTTATGATTTTTTGATTCTTTTTTGACAAGAACTTCTTATGGAGCACTATGCATCTCTGGTAGGAGGCACATAATGCCCGGTTCTCTCTTTGTATGGTGTTGGTTTTGGCATTAATGATATATTGAAGATCATTGCCTAAATCTATTGATTAGGGATTTCCAAAATTCCTTTGGCATTTACTAGCTGGAAAATGTCTACAAGGGGGAATTCCCCAAATAGAACTGCCTGGTTGTCTTAAGATATAGTTTATATAGGTAAGGCACCTAAGAGATTGATTCTTTCCTCTTTCAAAATAATGAGATGGTTTCCTAGCCTTCTCCATGGGTACCATACAAACTCCTACATTGAAATATATTTGATTTGTTGAAATTGATTGTAGTTGTTATCCTTATTGTTGCTGAACTTGTCCCGTCTTTGGCCAGTGGGTGCCTCTTCAAGTTGGTTCCTGGGTCCTTTTGAATAAGCTTAGTAATCTGATAGCTTCCTTGCTATCTGTTATGAGAGATGATCCAGGTTCATAGCATACATTTCCTGCCTCAGATTTGAAATGAGTAATTTCTTTGGGGGAATCCTGATTTCTTTTAGAGGAAAATGGTATTTACAGACACAATCTGGGTGCAGCGGGTACTGATTACTATTGGTCTTGTCATTACTTCTAAGCCTTTTCAGTGGACAGAGACAGGAAATAAACAAGCAAGAAAAGATAAGTTCATACTGATATTTCCCATTTAAATTTATGATTACAGGATTTTTGCTTTATTTCATTGATCTAATATCTATTTGTATCTTTTTTCTTCCACTCTAAAGAGTCTTGGCTCCCAACAGCACAATCTCAGTCTCAGAATAGCAACACCAACTTTATTGTCCACAATATAATAATTGGAAACAGTTTAACATTTATTGCTGTTACATTTTAGAGTTTTGGGGTCCTTAGGGTTTATCCCACTAGGGATGTGCAGTTAAATTACTATGTTTTAAAATCACATCCAATAGTTTCTCTCTGTGGTTATGCTACTGAATGGCTATATAATTTGATTTGCTTCTTCATTGTACTTTTGATTTTTAGAGATTATATCTTAATTAATTTGCTTCATATAGCTTATTTATATACGTATTGCTAATATATAAAAATATTAAAATTACATATATTATTATATTAAAAATTTATACATATTGAAAATATTAATCTATTGTCATATTGCTACTATTTGTCTTTTTGTTTATAGGTTCCTTCTCATAGAGAGATTTTTAAAATTCTTTTGTATCTAACTGATATTTTCCTTTATATCCAACTGATGTATGCCTTTGGTGTCAGAATTAGAAAGGCTTTTTTTCATTCCAGCATTCATACAGTTTCAAATATATTTTTCTTTTACTTCTATTACAAAATTTAAAATTTGACTGTTAATATATCTGGACTTTGTGTGTGGAGGATTGATGGCTACAAGCTATGAGTTAGGGATGTTACCTATTTTTTCCCCCAAAAAATTAGCCAGGGGTTTCACCAACATTCTTTGACAATTTATTCTTTCTTCACTTTTAAAAATATCCCCTTTATCAAATGTAAATTATTGTATGTGCTTACGTCTGTTTTTGGACTTTTTATATATTCCATTAATCTGACAGTTTTGGCACTAGAATTGTACTGTTCTTAATAAAATTTATCATCTTGCAGGACACAAAATTACTACTGGCTAATTTTCAAAGTTGAAATTATATCAGATTCTTATAAATGAACAAATAAACATGGATGGCTCAACATGCAGCTTTATGAATCCTAATTACAACTCATTTGAAATCTTAGCAAAGCTCGATCTTGAACCTTAATTGGGTATCTTTTGAATACTTCTAAATAGAGTATTCTGTTTCTCACAATTCTTCCTGGATCTCACATTTCTTCCTGGATCTCACATTTCTTCCTAGATTTCCATCAGGCTGATTCTTTGTAGAGGGGAACATAGTCCCTGTTAGTGTGGGGCGGCAATGTGCTGTAGGCTCAATCAACAAAATGTGATTCAAGGTTAACAGCTTTTATTTTCCCGATAATAGAAAGTATGCAACAGTTAACACGCTAGCACCATTATTTTATAGAAGATTTTTAATACCAGAT